TCCCCCATTCTGCTGAGATTTGAATGGGGGGGGCCCATGTAGTCTCCACTTTGTTCCACGCTCCGTTCTGTTCCACTGAGCAGATGTTTGTCGTTGTGTTGGGGAGCATGTTGACCTCATTCCATCCAGGGAGTTGCAGCTGCTTTTTACCCTAGAGTTCTGAATCTCCTCTAGATTTAGCCCTACCCGTCATCCCACAGACGCACAGAACTAAAGTAATTGTTGTTGAATGTGATCATTGTTGTAGTTGTCTAAGTAAATGTAATTACACTGGTAAAGACAGAAATTATCAGATGGTCAGGACTGCTGTGATTATTATTTCATTTTCTTTACATGATATCAGTGTAATTTATGAATGCCTAGGTGATGCAGTAGGACACTGCATACTTAAAAACCAAGTGAATTCTTTCCTGAGAGGAATATCTGGCTTTAATTCAGAAACTGAATTTTATGCTAATGGTTTCTTTACTACTCCAAACTGAGTAATACATTCACTTTTTTATTGTTGCCTTGTGAGGTGTATAGTTAGATACTGCATTTTAATTTTGTCTAAAATTTTCTAATTATATGTTAGTCTACATTGGAATCTGTAGAAAAAGTGAAAATCAGATTTAAATATCTTTTGCAAACATTGTGCCAGTTTAGGACTGAGTGACATCAGAGGTGCTTTTCAAATAACAGTTGCTGGATTGTATTTTACTCTTATAATGGTTCTTAAGAGTAGCAGACGTAGTTGCCATCTAGGCTGACTAAAAAGTCATCATATGGTGCTGAGTATCATAAAATTACCTAGAAAAAAGAGAATTAATTATCCTTGGGTTTGGGGATGTCTTACAGCTGCCCTACCCTACCCTTTGCCCCCTGCAAAGTCCTGCTGGTTTCTCGTGACTCGGTACTGTTGGGTGTGCTGAGCACCAGCTGTTTCCCCTCAGAGCTTTGTTTCTTAGGGCCCCCTGCTCTTATCACTAAAAACCGGGAAATAAACTCTCTAACTAGTTTGATAGCTTAGAAAACCAGTATTACTTTATTCAGTGCTGTGGTGAAAAAATTGCCAAAAATTGGGTCTTAAAGAAACCTGCAAGGCAGGCATTCTTTATTACTGTGCCAGATGCATTAATTTTTGTTTCCTGGGATCCTGTTACATATTCATGACATTTCAGAACACTAATTAGCATATATACATATCCTTATAAAGTGTCTGAGGGGCTTCACTGAGGATCTCTGGTGGTCGTCTGGAGCCCCTAAAGTTCTAGGTGACCTCTTTATGAACTCCTTTGAGGGTATGCACAATCTTTTACCTTGCTGTGTAACCGCATCTCCTTTGCTTGTTTGGCTGGTTTCTGTAACCACTTAACCCATGGGGAGTGGCCGTGAAGAGGCGCCCCTGCTTTACAGGAGAAGCTGCACACACTTCAAGAAAGTCTGTAAAAGAATCTGCCATATGAAGTGATTGACTGCCAGTCATGTATCTCCAGGTCAGCTAGCAGCTTAGCTGTCAAATCTCGCCTCAAAAAGCAGGATGTGTGTTTGCAGATGGTAAATTAGGCTGGTAAAAGCAGCACCATGGCACCAGGAGTAGCTGGTTTGTTTGGATCCTCTGACCAGATTCCGGGCCAAGGCAGATAAACCTTAACAAGACAGAGCATCCTGCTACATATGATGGTGTGAGACACAGTGGTCATGTCTTAGAAGGGACTATAAACCATCAAATACCCTTGAAGCACCCCTAGACTAATTTCTGGGGCCTTGCCCAAGAGGACTGTGCATGACCCACAGTGTTGCATCAGGAAGCGTAAAACTTCCTGCCTCAGATGAGGTACCTGGGTGTTCCCTCGAAATGAATGTATATTAACCCACTGAACTTTGTGTTTCACGGGCTTTCCCCACCTGTGACGGATCAAGACTGCAACCATCACTTTGACCAACTGAAACAGAGCTAGGGCCTAAAGAGTTAACTCTCAATACTGATCCGGGGACTCTCCTGCTCAGAAGAATGTAATGCTTAGCTAGAGACAGAAACCAGGGCTTAGGGATTAGATGGTACCCGTACACCAAAAGAATGCTCACACACCTACGTAAATAAAGATGGGGTAAGAACACGAATAGATAAGGGGTGAAATAGGGGCTTGAGTCCAAAGTCTTGCAAAATTCACCACGGAGTCAGCGAAAATCAAGAAAGTTGAAGAGTTCAACCGAGGAAGAAGAGTGAAAATATGACCCTGTGAGGCTGAAGGAATAGGAATTTTTTTTAGCTCTGTATTTTCATGGCCTTCTCATCAGGCAGTGTGCTGGTTTTGACTGAGATAGTTAATTTTCTTCACAGTAGCTGGTATGGGACCATGTTTTGGATTTCTGCTGGAAACAGTGTTGATAACTCAGGGATGTTTTCATTATCTCTGAGCAGTGTTTGCACAGAGCCTTTTCTGTTCCTTGCCCCACCAACAAGGAGGCTGGGGGTGCACAAGGGGTTGGGGCGATACATGTGGGCCAGTTGACCCCAGCTGACCCCAGGGATATCCCAGATTGGGTGCTGTCATGCTCAGCATCCAGAGCAGAGGGCAGAAGGGAGGGGTGGACGTTCAGAGTGGCGTTTGTCTTCCCAAGTCACCATTACATGTGCTGGAGCCCTGCTGTCCTGGGGATGGCCGAACACCTGCCTGCAATGGGAAGTGGGAATGAATTCCTTGTTTTGTTTTGCTTGTCTGTGCAGCTTTTTCTTTCACTATTAAACTCGTTCAACCTGCGAGTTTTCTCACTTTCACCCTTCCAGTTCTCTCCCCATCCCACCAGGGGGGGAGTGAGCAAGCAGCTGTTTGGGGCTGAGTTGTGACTGGGGTTAAACCACAGGCAGGAATGTATTTTGCAAGGCTTTGTTCATTGTTACAAGGCTTTATTTGGGCAAAGGCTCATCTTGGCAAAGTTAAACTAAAGGATTTATAGGTAATTATAACTAATATTAACTGATCTGGAAGTTTTAAGATTATTATCATAAGTGGTACTCTATTGAAAGGATTGCTCTTAAATTGGCCTTTTTGTGTAGCATTGGTAATGGTGTTGGAAAAAATCTTTAACTGTAGCAAATAGTGCTTAGTCTTGTGAATTCCTTTAACAGACAGTGCCTAGTCCTGTATTCCCCCATGTGTGGAAGTGAATATCTTAGCCTTGAGAATTAAGACTGTACCTGAACAACATCTGATAAAAAGGCGTATCTTGGTGAAGCAGAGCAAGGCCGGAAAAGCTAATGTAGTGTAGCAAAACAAGACCTAGAGAGTTAACTTAGAATGCATGCTCTGAGTAAAGGTATAGGGAACTGAGTTTCAAGAACAACGGAGATAATAACTCATTAAGGAATACTGAACACACTGACACAAAGAACATAAAGTACACAGGAAAACAGAGAGAACCAAAAATGCTAGCATACACATAAAACAGACATATGGAAGAAAAACAGAGGGAGATAAGGGAAAGGAGAAGAGTCAAAGCCTAAGCACTCTTGCCGAATATCAGAAACTCCTGCCAAATACATGTGGAAGTCAGCCAAATTAAAGAGTTCAAGAGTTTACCTGAGTAAAAGGAGTAAAATCAAGACCCCTGAGGCTGAAGTAACCGGAAGTACCACCAAGATACTCCCCAAAATGAAGACTGCGCCCCTGACTCTGCCCTAACTCCACCTGTTAATGAATATTATAACTAGATGTTGCAATACTATGAATATTCATGTAAAATGATGTCATCTCCTAACAAGAATTGTATAAATATTCCAGCTGTTAACTGCCTTCTTCGGAGCTCTTTTGTCCAGTGAGAGCTGGGAGCTCCCCAATGTTGATTGGCAATAAATACCCTCCTGCTTATAGACTAAAAACTCTGTCTCTGAGCAGTCTCTCCGCGCCTTTTTGGGGCATAAAATTGGCATCATTGGCCAGACCACATAGGTGGAATGCATTCAAGGAGAAGAAACTGTTTTTAGGAAGCTGATGATTATAAAAGGATGATTTGAGGAATGAGATGTTCCCTGAACAGCAACCAGAGACCCTCAAGAAACCCCTACTCTAATTTAAATGAGTTCTGAGAAGCGATTTAAATGTGTTAAAGAATTCATGGGAATGTTTAGCATATATGTATGAGCTCCAGGAAATGTAATGAATGTGTGTTAGTTACATAGATATAAGCTGATGCGTTGGATGCTGGGGATGTGCTGGAGATGTGCGTGTTAGGAGGAGAGATCCCCTATGAACCCTGCGCCGAATAAATGCCTACTTTCTAATAGTGAAATTACAGTGTTAGAGACTGCCAACAGAAGCGTCAACTAGTCTTGATTATTACTTATGTCTTAAAAAAGTTGAAAGTCTCTTGAATGACCTACAGGAAAACAGTTTAAGTCTCTTTTTTTTTGTCACTGCTGAAATTTAGTTTGTAATTTTAGCACCTTAATTGGACTACTTAACTTTGAGTTAATCCTACAACTGAAGAATATGTGAATAAGAATGTCATGTTCTGGTTACTGATACTGTAGTCTCTGAGGTCATGATTTTGGGGCAGTGTGATGGTGGTTTCTTTTGAAATAAGCCATGATAATTACAGGTAAGATTGTTCTAATACCTGAATCGTAATTATGATTTACCATTTCTGTATGTTACTGCCAGTGTTTGTTGCTGTGTTTATCTAGACTGTTGGAGTTGCAAACATACTTAAAAAGAGAAATTTATATAAATTTAGCTAATCAATTAATATGCATCTTTCTAGGCACAAAGGGTTTGTGGCCTGGTCATGGCACAACATTCTAACTTTTGAGTTTTTAGCTTCTGCTTTTATAAAACACCAGGAAGCATGAAAGAATAGAAGAGCAAACACTTTCTCCTGTTAATTTACCTCTTTGTTTTGTTGCTTGTGTGTAGTGGGCTGTATTCTATGGGGTTTTGAATTTATTTTTTTCCTCTACTTGCATAAGAGAGGTTTTCTTGACTGTTTTATCTGAAAAGGTTTTTTCTTTCATTTTATAGGAGGAAAATGGCTCAAGGTACTGCACCAGCAGCATCCATCCATGATGAGGAATCCTTAGAAAGCAGAATGGTCGTTAAATTCCTCATGTCAGGACTTGAGTCAATGGTTAGTAGAGAAATTAACCTGCTGCATCATAACTCTGTCTTAGCATTTGCAGGACTACAGCAGTATATTGCTTCCTGCTGGGCAGCAGGAAAGGTGGATTGTATCTTATTGTGTGCTGTCCAACCAGCCATTACTCTGTCTTGCTTGTGTTAAATCATGCTAACAGTCATCTTGTTTCTTGTTGTGGTGGTTGTTTTAAAAATTATTTTGTCGAATAAATAGGAAATATTTGTTGATTGCTCAGGTACAGCGTGGTTGAAAGGAAAGAGTGTGTTCTGATCTTTGTCATCTGTTATGTGGAGTGAATAAATTGTTTTGAGGCTAATACCTTGTCCTCAGCTGCTGTACCAACTCAACAAAACTTGTTCAGAAAATCTTCTTTTTATTTGTCATATCACCTGTTTTGTAGAAGTTATCTAATTATTATGTGGTGTGGTTTAAGGTCGACCAGGACTGTGAGTGGAAATGCCCTGTTTCCTTGAAGTTGAGACACTGTCAAAGATGTGGTTCTTTAAAATTGTTTTTTTAAATGATAAGCAAACCCAAGCATTTTCTTTTTAGCAATGAAACTTTGAATGGGATAGTTACAAGATAATGGGTTGAAAACCTTTTATCCCATTGGGTATATTAGATTCTTAAAGTTCTTGTGTCACTTTTTCCTCACATGCTGCAGTACAGGTCGCAGCAAACTGATTGAGTTGCTAGGAGAGACTGACTTTTTGTTATCACTTCTTGATCATCTCACCAATTTTCTTGGGATCCTTGTTCTCTCCATAGGCTTCCTGCCTTAATTCTTGCCACAATTTTCTCCTGGCAGAACACATGTAGGTGTCTGCTGGGATGGTGGAGACCTTCAGTTCAGGAGGAATTCACCTAAACCTGGACCTAGCAGTCAGGACAAGGCAGAATGGAGGCAACCATCCTGCTTGCAACCACACCTTTCTGAAGAGAACATGGTGTGCAAGAAGTGTGCTGTGAATGAACAAAACTCCTTTATTAGGAGTTGGAGTAAGACACTCAGGATGATTAATATGAAAGTGATAATTTCACATGAATCTATGTCATAAATCATTTCAATTAGAAACAGTGCAATGTCTGACTCTAGACAAGGCCTTAATTTCACTAATGCATCTACAGTGCTTTTAAGATTTCTGATGAAAAGCGTTCCAGGTGTGTAAATTGTGCTTTGCTACTGGCTGGTGTTATGTTGCTTCTAGTACCTTCTGAAGGTGGATGCTGGCAGCATAATATCACGTACATTTCTTTTAACTGTGTCTTAGCTATAGTAATAAAAGCTTTTTCTTTTTCTTTTTATAGTGTAAAGAACTTACCAAGTCCAAGGCAGAAGTTGCCTGTATTGCTCTGTATGAAACAGATGTGTTTGTAGTTGGAACTGAAAAAGGAAGAGCCTTTGTCGACTCTAGGAAAGATTTTCAGAAGGATTTTGTTACATACTGTAAGTTCCAATGTTGTATTTTTATATGTCACAAGTTGCTTAATGTATATTATATAATACTAAACTTTGGGGAGGAAAATTCTGTCTGTTATGGCTGTCTTCTATAATTACGTTGGCTATGGCAAAACCAGCCACTTAAGAACATAAAAATGATCAGAAACAGTCTTGTTTGGAGTTTTATTTCAACAATGACTGGAAATGTTCATTTTTTTCTTAGATAATATGACAAACTAGTACAATAGGAAGTATTAGACTGCCCACCCTCACAACACCTGCATTTCCTAGTGCATGTTAATTTTATTTTGTACCCCCTCCTCCAAGCCTTTTTTTTCCACTTGTGAAGGCTGGCGTGGGTGCATTGAACAGGTAGAGAAGTACTTCTGTCAGCTGGGATGGTCCTGATTCTTCAGGTCACTTCATGTCTTATTAAAGCAGATGCGGAGTTTTATCAAGATAGTATTTTTTCATGTAGCTTTTTAATATCAATTTTATTTAGTAGACAGAATTTAATGACCTAAACTCACTTCTGCATTACTTTTGTACTCCTTTATGTACATTTAGAGTATATTTTTTGTATGATTTCATTTTTATAGTAAACCAGTGGAATTTTTGTGTTCATAAAACTTAATCCATCAACTGTGGGACAGTATTTTTAGGAGTTAGGTTTCAAAGATTCAGTGACTCTTTGGGGGGAGCATTGATATGCTCATTTAGGAAAGTGTTGGTGGTATACCCTGCCTAATAAATAGCAAAATGTACATTTACCTGCCTAGGGAAAGGGAGAAGATGCAGGTCAAGGGTTGGGTATGATAGAACAATCAGTCTGAGAACAACTGTAAAATGTTCTGGCTTGACTAATTAAATACTTGGGAAGCAACTATGTTTAGTCTGTAGCAGAAACATTTGCTCCTATAGATGCTTTTGGTGCTAACTAAAATTCTCCTGGAGGCTCTGTCTCAAGGTCATTTGGTTGTGGTAGGACTCGATTTTTTTGCCACTGTCCTACTGGAATGGACAGTGACTTTCTGTGCACATACTTACTCCGAGGGAAGTCACCACAATGTTACATTGTAACAGATCACTGATACCAAAATGTAGAATTGCAACCTGATTGTGGAATCAAGTATAAGATGAATGTTTCTTTTTTTTATTATTTTTTACAGGAGCAGTTTTCTGATACTGCTGTCTATGAAAACTGCTAACTGAGTAATGGGCAGGGAGTTCAGTTTTTCACCTGATTTCTTTTTTGGTTTTGTTGCTTTAAGGGATTCCCTGAAGTCCTAGGTACTGTGTTTTATTGCCAGTACAGCGGTATCATGAGCCCTGATATACTGGAGACTTTGTATACTGCACACATCTATTGGTAGGGAGTCTGAAATTATAGAGATTTGGTGTTTGATCTCCTGGCTAGATCTGTATTTCAGATTTTTTACTGTGGGAAGCACTGGCTTTGTATCCATCCTTGTGTTTGGCTGTATCAGATGTGGTTTCTATAGATACGTGCAGGTGTTTAAACCCTGCATCAATTGTGATGGTCCTCATCCTTTGCTTTATTGCAGTTACAAGGTTACTGGTTCTCCTGCAGTGGTTTTGTACTGTCAGGCTGACAGGATTAAACAATATCCACTTTGAAAACAATGTTTTCATTATGCTTCTTGCAGGACATCATGATGTAGATCTGTGTGAATAAGGCCAACTATTGTCTGTCATTGCTTTCATGGTTTCACTAAGTGTACATTTCCCATGCTTTTAGGGGAGTTTTGATGCTGGAGGGAACAGTTCCTTTCCCCTCGCACCTTGTTTCTTCAGTTGAATATGAAAGCGAGCAATTGACAATGTTAGTCACAATTTGAAGTGTTTTTCAGGAACTCAGGAAGAACACAGTTCTGTGTGTTTCTAACAAGTTAGAGTTGGGCCCTTTTTGTTGCGTTATGATTAAAACCCTAACTTTATGATTAATAAAAGCTTTCAAGTGATTCTTACCTTGCTGTTAGAACTAAACCTTTAAAAATTCATCTGTGATGTCAGTCTCTGGAACACATGGTGCTGGCAATATTGAGAATTATTTCTCCACTTGTGTAGGAATCTTCATTTTTCTTTAAATATAGAAACAGAAGTCTAGTTACTAATCATGCCTGTGGTTATGTCTGACTCTGTGGAAGGCAGCATGTATCTCCAGTCTTCACTTCTGCTTTTTCCACAGCTTGTTTGTATAATTTAAGAAAGTATGAAGGCTCAGGCTTCAAACATGCTGCTTATTTTTAGTAATAAGTATAATTTAGTGGGCTAAACTGCTGAAATATATATATATAAGGTTTATGAAGGAAGTAGCATGTACACTTTTTAGCAATATAGGGCTGATAAAAATAATAGCAGTTCAGTGAAAGCAGCGCTGGAGTTTGGTTTCCTCAGGCTTTCATTCATGATGACTTTCATCCACATGGGCTCCCTGATGCCTTGCTGCAGGGCAAGGAGGAGCCCTGCTCATGTCTCATTTACCTTTTCACCTTAAGAAAATGTGTTAGAAATGAATTATAGCAATGCTTTTTTTCAATTTCAGTATGAGTTGTGTAGTGAGTGTTTAAAAACCAATCTACAGGCATTAATTATTTAAAACTGAGTCAGATAATGTATTTTTCTGAACTGTGTTTAATGAAGATGGCTGCAAGCCCTGTTACAGTGAAATGGAATGTTTCAGTTGGTGTAGAACTGTATGTGCTTGTATGCAGAACATATGACTTGGGTAACCTGCAGTGTCAGATATTCTAAGCCTGTGTAAGTTTGTATTGTATATAGAAAGATTATGTTCTTCAAGCACCTGCTCCTATTCAGCATATGGACAAGTGTGGATACTTGTGCACTGTTAAGTAGTCAAGGTCATACATGTCTTGCCCTAGCAGTAACTCTTTGTTTTAGTTGCTGTCCCCTGCTAAAGTGTATTGTGTGGTCCTCAGTTCCTCTTGCATGACCTTGGCAAGATGAAGTGCCTCCGTCCTCTCTGGATTGCTGTGGAGTTGTGGGTTATCAGCTGTCCTGAACAGGTGACTTATTCCTGGGGTGTCTGAAGAATGCTGTTCCCTTCATGTGTTCTTCTTTGTCATCTTGGCAGTTTCCCGTGAGCTCTGTGGAATAAAGATATTTACCCAGCACTGTGTGGTCCATCTCATCTGCCAAGGAGATGATTCTTCTCCAAGAATCCTGGTTGCCTCTGCTAGCATTTGCATTGGTACTGACTGCCGCAGCATCCATATGTGGGTTGAGGGAAGCATAATCCTGCTAGTTCTACAGCTTCCAGCCAGCTCTCCCAGTTGTGCTGCTTTTTTTGTCTTTGGTGCCGGGGCTCTGAGCTCACTTGCGTGAGGTGGGGCAGTGTTGCATCTGTAAACAGTTCATCTTGGATGATAGGTCTTTATTTTTTGGAACCTTCATGTTACTTCTGGTGGCCTCGGGTTTCCACACTGATCTTAACAATGCATCTGTGTGCTGGTTTAAAGGTAAACCAGCAGGGGAAATGAACTCAACTCGAAAGAGAGATCATAAGTCAGAATAACAATTTAATAGAATAATACAATAAGTACGATTATACAGACAAACAATTGGTTTTAACCCACAAAACCCAAATGTATAACCCAGCACCCTGGGGCATGAACAGAGTGGTGTTCTTTGGGCCCCCTGAGTCCAAAGTAAAAGGAGAGGGGAAAACCTGTTGGTGAGAGTGCTGTTGCAGTTTGGTTGAAAAGTGGTGGTTGCAGTCTGGTTTGGATCCCACGAGTGGTTAAAAAAGTTCCAAGACTCCAAGATTATATATTCTCCAGTTCAGGCAGGAATGCTCAGTACTTCCCTCAGGGTGGGGAGTTCCACAAAAAGAGTGTGAGTACAAGGAGGCACCCTCCTATCTTGCAGGCCTCTTAACACTTAGTTTATAGCCTGAGGAGTCAGGCTGCTCTGGGTGTAAATAGTCTATTGATAACAGTTTCTGGGAAATGGCATGGAAGGCTATAGAATACACAGTTTTGGGTTACACCCATCCAGTGATGAACTGGTCCCAGCTGTTCTAACTAGGACAATCTGGTATGGGCCAGAGTTGGCTTCAAGTCCTGCTAGAGACTTTGGCCCAGGGTGTTTTGCTCTGCTTACCTGTGTCTCCATGTCCATCCAGCCACAGGTTGCAAGAACTTCTTATAGCTTCAGGAATGTTCAGAATCTGAATGTTTTTAATGAGCACAACCATTCCTTCTGCTCAGGATGAATGAATGGAACACAATTCTCCAAAGACCTTATGGGAAAAATTGCTCAGCTTTGGCTCCTCAGTATCTTTGGTATGTGAATTACTGTTTGCTTTTGGATATACTCCATTATCTGCAGGCAAATAAAATTATTCTTACCATAAACTAGGCTACCGTGGACCCGATTAAAGATCTGCAGTAGGCTTCTGTGTCATTGAATCCTTCTGGCCTTTGAGCAAATAGAACCATCAGGTATTCTGGGGAATTCTTATTCTGACATTGTGCTCCCTTGTGTCTATGACTCTGCAACTAACGTAACAGTTCTGCAGTTTAAAGGCGGATGGAAAAAGCAAACAAAACCAGAACCTTGAAAGACTAGATCTTGCTGGTTTAAAAACCAAAACACACTTAAAACTGGCAAGTCTCTCACAGGATTGGTAGTTACTCGAGAGTCTCACTACTTGTGATACTACTTTGACCTGCTGTAATTTTCATATGAATACCTGAAATTGGCATTTTTGGACTCGTAGTAGCTTGTCCCTGTATCCTAGAGAGTTCTAAGCATCTCTTACTGAAGTTATACCATGTCTAGTGTCTTGCTATGGTAGATGCTGGCTTCCTACTCCATACCTGTAATTATAGCTTTGCAGTGATTGTCCTCACTTCAGGTTTTGACTTCCAAAGAAGCTGCTGTATGATCTCTTCTCTGTGGAGGATGAACTTTTTAGTTCAATATCCAAGAAGGTTTCAAATGCACATGTGCTGTGCTGAGCC